CATTATAGTTCCTATTAATAATGACAATCCAAAAAACGTCTTGCATTTTTATTCATTTGCTCGAAACCTATCGTGTCTACGAGACTACGGAGTCTTTGTTTGAATATGTTCGACGTGGCACAACGGTTGAATACTATATCACATGGAGCGATAAAATATTCTAGTATAAATTTGATTTTTTTCCTTTTCGCAGTTGTTTTCAAAAAAACACAGAAGGATAGTTTAGCCAAATTGTAGGGAAGCAAATTGTAATATACAAGAAGCAAGCCCCAGGGTGGTAGGCTAGTAATTTTCACTAAGAATAGAATTGATATGTGGATCTATATCAGAATTCAATTCCTTTCAAACGTAAATTATATAATCATTTTTATTTGGTTAGTCGAAATGATGTCATGTTTTAGATACACTAAAAAACCTACTCAACGGCTATACTCAATTTGGAGATTAGTCGAATGGTAAAAATCTGGATTAGCTCCTAATTTTTTTTTTTTAAGCAAGCAGAAAGTGTAACAAATATTGATATTATATAAGAAGTAATAATTTAAAAGAACTACTCCATATCGCTATATATGTAAGTATATACGTTTCTCATGAATAATGCAATATATATATACATATATATGTAAATATTTCTGCATAGATACTTGATTAGTTATGTACTATCTACATAGTTACATGCATAGANANTTNATTAGATATGTCATATATACACACACATATATAATATAATTATATACACAATTGAGCACATGTATTTGTAAACATTTCTGCATAGATACTTGATTAGTTATGTACTATCTACATAGTTGCATGCATAGANAGTTAATTAGATATGTCATATATACACACACATATATAATATAATTATATACACCATTGAGTGTGTTATTCTTCTATACGCATATAAACAAAAAGACATGGCAGGTGAGATTGCTTGTGGGCATGTCAAACCTTTGAGAATGAGAATGATTAATAGAATAATAGATACATACATACACATTACATCTGCATATAGATGTGTATATTGTTTATTTGTTAGTGCAGAACAAAAGAAAGTAGTTAGACTTTTCTTAATAGAAGTGACCCATATCATGAAACTTGTTTGGTATCAACTGGGAAACTAACCAAATAATTTCTTAACCGAATATAAAGAAGGTCCACATCATCGGCTAAAATTGTCACATGGCATGTGTGACATTGTTATATATCTGGACTTTGGCAAAAGTTAGACGAGTAGGGTTTTGAATACCATGATAATGATTTAATAATAAATTAAGCACCTCCTGAGAACCGAAATGTAGAATTAATTAGACAGTGACACTCTTTTTGCTTAGTCTACATATTTCTCTTTTGCAAGGTTAATTAATGATAATTGGTTAATCCAATGGGCAACGATCGTTTTATCAAAGTAATTATGGTTTTTTTGTTTTACGGTTAAAAAGCAGACTGAGTAAAACAAGTGGTTCGAAGGATCCTATGATCATCATCTTAAAACCTCTTGAAAGAACCATATATAGAATACATTTATCTTTGAAAAAATAACAAAATAATAATCAAATATAATTTCCAATTCGTAAACATGTGGTTGAGAATGATATGTATATCGTTACATTTTTATTTGAATCTTTTGACGTTACGTGTAATTAGTTTAGACAAATTTTTAACATCGTTATTTAGTTTAACTCTTGGTCTCATGTGCCGACTATAAGTATATTTGAATTTGATTTTGCGTTGTCCAAATAACTCAAATATGTAGACCACTTGTTATTTGGGGTTTTGTCACATTGGTACGATCATGGTACGCGGTATAAGACTCTCATGTGATATGACGTCCAACAAATAGCAGTTAACGAGATCTCTCCACCCACTTACCCATCCCTAACCACATAAGTCGTCTCTACTCTTAAGAGTTCTAGAGTATTCTTAAAA